TAATGTTTTCACCATTCATAAAAATATGTATAATATTATCTATGTTTATGCTAAGCAGGTAAATAATTTAAGATACTGTATCTTTGACTAGGGAATAAAGTCACAAATACTATAAATTTCTTTCTCAAATCCCATACATATAACAGAGACTATAATTAGTAATGCTCCAATGATGCTGGTTGATGTAGGTTGATCTCCAAAGAAGTATATTTGTATAACATAAGCCAAAATAATATCCAAAGATCTAGTCACTGATACTTTTCCAGCACCTTCTATTTTTAGTGCATTAGTCACTAAAATTTGTCCTGATAATCCAGTCAGGGCTACTAATAATATTTTACTCCAGGTGATCCAGTCAAATGGTAACTTTGATTTTTGTTCATGATCATCTGATATAAGAAAAAAGAAAAATATTGCTGTAACAAGTGACCACCAAGATAAATTGAAGATTATTGCTGAATAATGTATTTCTGAACACTTTCTCATAATAACTATATTAAGAGCTGTGAAAAAGGTTGCTAAGATAGCACATACATATCCCATGATATTGTATGGTTCAACCCTTTGCATCTGAAAAAACAAATATTTTGTATGGAAATGTCAGTTTGTAGAAATTATATTAAGAACATTTTTTACCTGGAATAAAAGTGGAGGTCTAGCTACAAAAATAACACCTGCAAAAAGTGTACACATAACTATCACACGTAATATTCCACAAGGTTCCTTTAACAAAAGGAATGATAATGCAATAACAATTACTGGAGAACTAAGTATAATTGTTGTAGCATCTCCTATAGGTAATTTGCGAAAACTATAATATAATAATGACAGGGTTGCACCACCTACTACTCCCTAAAATATAGAATACATTATTAGGATATAATTTCAATTTATTATTAAGTTTTATAATTCCTTGGTTCTATTATTGATATATGGAAGACACAATTTTACTATTAATTTAAGAGTTACCATACCTGCAAATGTAAAAGCATTCTTTGTCCTTTAGGTCCAAAAAGACTTTTGGAAACTTTAATTGCTACACCAGCCATAACTAACATTTGTAGAATTGCTCTAATAGCCAGTAATACCATAGGGTGTACATTTTGTACTGCTTTGACTAATGCAGAACTAATTGTAAAAAATGTACCTGATAAAAATGCCAAAAATACTCCATACCATTTGGTACCTTCGTGATATGTCTCAGCAGTATTGGTAAATTGCTCCGTATAATGGTATGCTGGATGTATACTGTTGTAAGAAGTAGTAGATTCAATGCTGAACTTCATCGTTTGGCTACTTTAACATCTACGATACACGATTATACTGAACGAGACATTTGCGGTATACTACCGTCTACCGTTAGTACATCTGCTGTCTGATAGAATTAGCATACAGCTTTGCAAGTCAAACAGCTTATTAGGGATTAATGATGGTAGGAAGATTTGGAAAATGTAACGATCGGATTGAAACTGGTCTCAATGTAAAACAGTAGAAAAAGTTAATTACAACATAAACCAAGAATTTAAGGGAAAATTACATTTGTTACAACAACGATACGGATCACGTTAATTTTATCGTGGACAGTATTTTGCATTTTAAAATAATGCATTCATTAATATGATTAAAAGAAGTTTATCTTCTTAATTATATAACTGAATATAATTAACCAGAATTAAATTTTTTTGTTGAATGAATTGTACATTAATCAAACTGTGTAGTTTGAAGATGCGTTTATATGCTTTAGTTTTACTTCAGCACTTATCTTTATTATATCAATGAATTACTTTGAAAGATATATATTTTACTTTTGAATTATTTAAATTAAAATAATATTCATAATCTAGTTGTAAAATAATTTATACAATTATGTTAATTTAAACGGAAAAGGAATGTGTTTATAAGCTTATTACAATGTTACAATTATTTATTGCTTTACTATTTCTTCAACCTTACAAAATGTTTGTGTAATCATATAAAAAGAGTTAGTCCTTTCCAAACTGTAGAAGAGTTGATGGTTTGTCTACACGATAAAGTGTAGTACCTAAGTTGAAATATCCCAAATATTCTATAGTTTCTGGAGTTGTATCAATATGATAATGACCTCCTTCTCCATGGTGAGAAAAGCTATGAAAGTGTTGAACACGAAGATCAAGGTCCTAAAATTACAATACATATGCAATATATCATGAAATGGTATATGTAAATGTATGGTAGGCCAAAGGAGATTTTAAATATTTATCAATATTAATGTATATTCCTAAATATTTTGCAAGATCAAAATGGCTAGTTACATACAATTGTACTTACACTTTCAGAACTGACAAATGTACCAACAGCTACTAAAGGTGTTGACATGTTGAAGAAATTTAACCAGTTATTAAGTTGTGTTTCAGTATTTAAGGGGATTGCTGAAAAGTCTGCCATAACATGCTGTTTAACTTTTCCATCTTTCATTAAAAACGTTCCTCCCAATCCTACAATTAAAAAAATTTTTGCTCAAATGTTTAGCCATACCTATTAATTGATTTGATTAATAAAAAAAAAATACTTACCAACAAGATTATTTTGATACTGTTGTGCAATTGCCTTTTGCATACTAGCAATAAAATCATTATTTCCAGTACGTTTTTTAGCATGCACTTTTAAAACTTTTCCAGGCTTTCCTTCAGTAACAAATAAGTTGGCTAACAAAGCAAATCTTGTTTCACTATTAGGTAAATTCTGGAGCACACAGTTTCCATTTTCTTTATTTACAGATGCAATACGAGTTCCATTTTGTACATTAGATGGTGATATAGTCATGTTCATCATAAGCTAGAAAAAAAGATTTACATAGCTAGAGTATGTGAATACATTTACATTAGGTAATGTAAATGTATTATTATACCTCACAATTAGAATTGATGTGTGGCCATGGGCCAGCTCCTGCTCCAACAACAAAGGAATCCTTGTTGTATTGTAAGTGATTTAGAAGTTGTTGAATATCATATAACTTGTTCTTTTGCACAATGGGAAGAAGATACGATGGACCACCAACTTCTAAGAGTACTGGGTTGCCATTTAATCCTACAGATTTAATATAAATAATGTATTAACTTAAAATAGTATATAAGTACTATATATCTGAAGCATGAATTACCTGGTGCAGCAAGTGTAAAGGGTTGCTGGGTTAAATCTGGGCAATCAACAACTTCCACTTGAACCTCTACAAAATTTTTAGCTAATCCTTCTTTTAAAACTGTTAAAAAATATAAATTATGTAATTGAATTTTTTTTTACCAGTTTTAATTATAGTTTAATTTAACATTACCATCTTTTATTTCATCAAGAGATGGGGTATGTAAGTCCCTTTTTGTTATGGTAAGTCCACTGATATCCAATGTAGTCATTGTTGATATATTAATATAACTAAAAATTCGTTTTCAAAATATTAGATTAGTTTTATAACAAGTAGAAGTATAAAATAATACTGAGAGTAATGCATTTAGTTTAAATTACCTTTGAATAGAAATAGTATTATCGAGAAGACAACAAAGAACTGAAAGAAAGTTGAAAATTTTTTAATAGTAATGGCATCTTTTATCTAATCACATGTTTACGCATGAACCTATTTCGTAAGCATGATCTTTATACTGCGCAGAGCTGGAACACGGGACATAAGAGAGGCAAGAGGAGTATTCCACTCGGTTTGCTTTATTTCGCCTGTGACACTGCTTAAGCTATCACGCGCATACGCTGACATAATAGTAGGGAATCCCATATTCGAGTCTCTTGATCTCGGCACATGGTCTCTATGTGATCCATTCGTTCTCTTCGTCACGCGATAATATATGATCCAGTTTCAGCCAATAATAAAAATACGCATGCTCTGTCTTTAGGATGGTGATAGAGAAGTAGGTAGCCCTATTACACTACTCAATCAAACCTGTATTCCTTCCGCATGCCAACTTGCCACCTCTGCACAGTATAATCATTCGATAATGCGATTGTAAAAACTTTGAAAGTATTGAAAAAAATATATTATGAAGTCCGAATAACAATTTTAAACACGTAACATGTACATGTAGGTATATGCGTGCGCATGTATTAATAGTAACAAAGAAAGAGCAATTGATCTATTAATTATTTTTTAAATCTCAAAAAATTTCGCAGTAAATTGCGTAGTAGGTAATTAATGTACAAAGAAAATGGATATACAATCATAAATAAATTATAATATTTTAACATTACATTATTAACCAAAATGGTCTAACCATATAGGATCGGAATAGAAAAATTTAATATTTACCTATTAAATTTTATATTTTTATGGAAGATTTCAATAACCGTACAAGATACACGTACTTTACAAAAAGGAAAAATTAAGATACTAAACGGACGGATAAGATAGCAAAAGTTTTGAATGATGTCAAATACTTTGATGTTAGAAAATTACTTATAGTTCTCTTCAGAGATGGCAACACGATGCAGTTGTACACAATAAATCAAATGTTCGCGCGTTTAATACACACGCATGTCAAGTACGAAAATCTAAGTAAACAATCGCAACGGCATTAATACTTGTAGAGTAACTTTGTAGCAATAATTGTGATGTTACGTTACAGGTGAATTTTGTGCTTTATATGGATATGTGTGTACAAAGGTAATTCTGTATTTGAAACCATTCTTTTTCTTCATACTATCCGTATGAAATTTGTGTCTGCACTTAACGAGTGTGAATATAGTAATAATAGAATTTAAGGTTTGAAGAGATAGGGTATTGTTCTAGTTTCTATCGTTTCTTTACTGGCAACTTGTTTTTGTAATAAAATGTTCAGTTTTAGGCGACTTGTTCTAATTTCGCTGGAAAGTGTTCGAACAGGAAAAGTTGGAAAAGAGGGTTGGAATATGTCGGTGCTCGGTAGGGTTGTCGTGGATGCGCATTGGACGTTGAAGGAGTCTATCGCGTATCACTGGCGATGTTCCTGAATCGCATCGTCAGTATGCGGTCGCGCATTCCATGCGGGAACACCTGTTTGCTCTTTTGGCTTCTCCATCGTTTTCTCGATCTAAAATCGCGTAAAATATCTTCGTGTTTATCCATCATATTTTAATATAGAAATATAGAAGTAAAATTTTCACTGCATTCGTTAAATATTTGCAAAGAAAAAAGTAAGGGAAGAAAGAAGAAACAAAAAACAGTAAAGGCATAAAGAATATTCGTAATAAAAACAAATTCTTGTATCAAAATCAAAGTAAAAAAGTACAAAAGGAAAAAAGAAAGAGGAACGAAACATTCTGTTCGACAGATTCGTATGAAACATACCATCGGACGATAAGAAAAAAATTTCGAAAAACGAGCACAGTTGTCTCGAGATTACCGACTGAGCGATTGAAGAGGGTGGGGGGGAAATATCGTTAAATACGTATCGGTGTATCCATGTGACAGGTCGAAAAGCAAGAACGGAGTAGCGTTGAGCGGGAAAAGGAAAGGAAAATTGAGAAAAAGAGCGAAGGAGACGAAGAATTAAACCGCGAGAGAGGAACGTTCTCGTGACTTCAACCACGTGTCTCTCGTGGTCCTCGTTTAAACACGCGTAAGAGCAATTTTCTCTATTGACGTATTTACGCCGGTTATTCGTGAGTTGCTCGTATTTGACGGACACTCTTCTCCCTCCTTGACACGCAGATTTTTTTCTAAAAGATTATTTTCCCAATATACGATCCTTCGGCATGCGATCTTATTAAAATCGATCATCCTTCTCATCTCTTCTCACATGCATCTTTCTTGGATGTCAATGTGATCGATTATTCACAGTTTACCTTCCCCTCCTCACCGCGGCATGTAACTAATCCTACAAATGTTTTCTTCGTTGCATGCTATAATTCAGAATGTTCCTTCTTGGTGTTCCAATTAAATATTTCTTCCTTCTTTCTCTTTCCTATTTGTTCTTCGAGAAATTTTCTCAAGTTCACGCGACACGAAATTCTAGCGTTTGTACAACAACCCGGGGGACTTGAAACGTTTAAGCATCGCGCAGCTACGCTCGAGTTAAATTACCGTACAACTAATAAGATTTTGGCACAGAGACTGTTCGACGCAGGTGGTCTTGGGTTCACTTTCAAGATCAAGCCAAGAGTGAATTAACGACTGTATCAAATTTCTTTTGCCTGGTAATTAAATCGAATATAGATAAAAAAAATTTTTCTTCTTTTTTTTTTCTTACGAGAAAACTAGAAAAGTAGAAGAATAATGGTACACGAAATTAATCGCGTGAAGATTTTACGAAGCGTGACAAGAAGTTGGGAATCGACGGTAGGGAATACGAAATGAAAAGGACCGCGGTGAATCGCGGTTAGCGTTTTTAATCGTGCTGGCAAGACCGCGAGGCACATCGTATGTAACTTACATACATACGTAAGATTGCAGCTGGTAGATTATTTGTAGTCGTTGCCATTGAGATGGTTTGATGGTAGCCCCTTCCCCGCGTACCTTTATATCGAGACTGAATGGACAGAGAGAGCAGCCTCCTCTATGAGATAATACGCCTGGTTGTGCCTAAGCCATTCAGGCCCCAAGTCGGATCCATCGAATCGCGAGAGATCGCGCGAGGTGAGGGTGGACATCGTGGCCCCTGCAGTCATGCTCACCATACAAAACGAGTGAGTATATCGGTTTGCATGCGATATCGTAACTACATACACGATACATCGGCCTGCATTCGATGCATCCATTTCAACATCTGCCCAAATTGCCCGTGCTTTTTCACATCTCTAGCTTTTCAGAACAAACGCCGCCATAACTGATGCTTCCATCCTTCGAGCTGCTACTTTCTTCCATCCATGGTTTCCAAGGGTCGCCTCTCTCACTCTCTCGATTCATGACTTTTCAGCGGTTACCAAGCTTATATACAACCACTCTGGATTAAGTAAATATTCTCTGGGTAAATCCACGGGAAGGCTTCTTCGCCTCCCCCTATCGAACCTTTCTCACCGTTTTACTTCCGTAACATTACTCGCTTTCTCTCTTTCTCTCTCTCTCTCTTTGTGTTTCATTCACCTAAACGTGTTACTTTTTTCTATCCGTTTACAGTTTCACGATCACACACAGTCCAACGATAGGAGCGTTTTAAGAAAATCCAGCATGTTAATCTCGGCCGGCTATCTACCTTTTCACAAGAGGATAAAATAGAGTCGCCTAGCTCGATGCATTCATCATACTCTACAAACTTTCTTTCAACGACCGAAATATTCTACTCTTATTTCTTCTTACTTTCACCATCTTTGTTGATGGGTTCATGGTTTCGCGGTGATTACGCGGCTTAGAGATAGAACGGTATCTTATAAACGAGTACGTGGCAAGCCTCGAAAGTAAGCGATTCCCGTTGGCTTTGTTGTTACAAGATTCTTGGATAAGATAGTCCGTTCAATATGATCGTGCGACGACATATTTTTTAATAGCCATCTATTCTAATTCTACTGTCTATATAGCTTCTTAATCTTGTATAGAATCTCTATATACCAGCGGTAGCTTTACCTCAACTTCTCTTATCTCTTAACTTTCGGATCATCTGGTACTCAGGCAATTTCATAAAAAAAAAAAAAATTGTAGATACGATTCTGAATGCTCTGCTCGTTTGTACGTAATGTTTCACAGTTCCTAGTACACTTTTACAGTTCACGAGGTTTCGCTTGTAGGGAGAGAAATCCGTGACACGACGCAAGCAATTACGAAGGTGCGGTTCTAGGTAGATGCCGTGACGTGGTTCCTCGGAACGACGTGGATTCCCTTTGCATCGTACGTATAGTAGTAACATGGCAATAAACCACTACAGCGGCGGTGCATAATCTAATGGCGCGTTGCCTCCTGCGACAAGTATGGGACAGTAGAGGGACGGCTTGAACCGTGCCTTCCTGCGGTTCATTAATTACAGCCTGCTCTTGGCCAGCATCACGTTTATTCCGATCGTTGAGGCGACAACAACCAGAGGGTTGGAAAACTATCGTTACACGTGTCTACGACATGCCTGCCTTCTCAAATTCTTTCCCATTTCACTGGACAACTTTTCAAACAAGCTCACACCATACACACACGTGTGCAAAGTTGAAGAAAGTTACGTTTCGAATCATTCAAGTCTCTCCCTAGCTAAAAATCCTCGGATCTTCCGTCACGTCTGATAATTCGTACGTGAAACGAGTTTTCGATGTTACTTTACCCTCTGTCTATCTATCTACGGTTGTCCGAGAACTTTTGTATTCAGGATCCATCCGAATTCATAGAAGATTCCAACGATTTTACACGTTTGTCTGCGAAATTTACGGCAGAAAGGATCCCAGACGACAGCAATCCACGAGATTGCTTTTCTCATTCTTCCTTTACACACTATTGCAACTTGACATTTTTCTCTTTTTTCTTCTTCTTTTTGTTCCACTTTGAACCGCAATTTCGGTTGCTGTTTCTCACCATCGACCCAACGTTTTGTTTTTCATTCGATGTACTTACATACGTGTCACGGTCGCACGGGTAAATTTGACTTCTCCCGAATCCCACGGGACTCTTGGCCGTCTGTGTCAACAAGTGTGTCGCGTGATACCTTCGTATTCATTCGTGTTAATGCACAACGTATACGTATGCGCCTACTTCACCTCTGCCTTTATTACAAATTATCAATAGCCACGTTGTATCTTCCGCTAGAAACGCGTAGATTTTTCCTACGAAAAGCACAAATTGAACGTTCTCCTTCCTGTCCTTTTCTACGGTTCGTTTAATCCGATTGTTCGTTACGGTTGTTCGCTGGAAATGAAGTAAACTGGCACACAGGGTAATACAACGGTAGGGTGAAAAGTTTCTTTTCGTCGTAGGTTTGATTTCACGGTAGTTAGTTCCCGTTGGTGGTAACTTTGGGGAAAATAGAAGAGAAGAATAACGCGCGATGAAATTGTGTCGTCGAGGACGATTTACCTCGGTCTCTAACTTCGTTGTACCAAGATTATTGCCTCGTATCCAGAGAACAACAGGCGATGTACGTCGCAGAGGATCACTTTGTTCGCCTGTGGTTTACAGAAACCAGCTGCAACAAACATCTCTCTAGCTTTCTCATTCTCCACGTTCTGTGCGCGTTCTCGCCAAGTTAAACAGCGAACATTGTTTTCCGATTGCACCAATTAATCGAATCATGTGAAGTTGTCGAAACGGGAAACTTCTGATTTCTCTACCGTCCTCTCTCGACCACGAGATAGATTCTTCCCGTGTATTTCTCCGAAGGTTGAAAGAAAGAAAAAAAAAAGGAAGATACAGGCAAGTGGAGTCGATAAGAGAGGAGAAGCAATGGATTTACCTACTAATTTGTCTGAAGAAACTGTATACTTGTGACAATCAGCCCACTATTCAACGAGCGAGTCTGACGTTCGTTCGATCGTTTCTCCTTAGACGTTTGATTTTCTTTCACTATGTTCCAACGAGAGAGAACACGTGTATCAAAGAAGCTGCTCGAGTAGAACAAACGCGAAAGGCTTTCCTTCATTCTTCAGACGTTGCTCGTTCATTATTCGTTTGCTCGATTATTTCATTTCCCCTGTGAATTAAATGGAAACAAAGGACACCGGAAAGTTATGAGAATATACCTTTACGTACACGTTCAATTCCTGTAAAATATCGCGCAGGTTGAAATGTCGATAAAGGGTTGGAACGAACGAGTAGGTTGATGTTTTACCGTGATCGTTAAATTCGTGGCCTCGTCTATCGATACATATACACACACACGCGTACACACACGTGTACGTATATAGAATACACAGGCGTAAAATTTGTTTTACCACAGTTCGCGAGGGTGTGTATACGTTGCGATGGTGAAACTACTCGCAATACCTACTCTCGCAGGTTAAATGTATATCTAACTTTGAATCGGTTAAAGAATGACCCTTGTGTGCTGTGTAGTTGAGAGTAAATAGTCTCCTCTTAATGTAGTTAAGTGTAAAGTAGCTCGCATAGTTTAATTACAATGCTTGCCCCGCTTGTTGCGCTTACACGCACGCTCACCTATACAACCTTCGCCACTTCCTATATACATACTCGCGAAAGCTTCAATGCGAATGTACGTTATACACCTGCAACAATATTATACCTGTACGTACTTTTTACCCGATTGAGAAATTGTACGCTTCGATGAGAAACTATGTAATTGTCGTCGCGATCGTGATTTTCGTCGATTCACGATCGAACAGAGGTTTCAACAGTTTCGAATTTGTGAGAAATTCAGGAAATCGGGGAAATTATTTCAGCATGTCACCGCGTAATGGCTCGTGCGTGGCGGAAGTAAGCTCGGTGAGAAGCCTTTCGTCCGACGATGTCTCGGCGACGAAGACGAACCGAAAGAAGTCCTGCTGGGCACGTGCCACGGATCCAGCTCATCGTCGTGGACGTCGAATTCAGCTGCTGCAAATGCTGGTGCTACCATTTATACCGATCCTAGCGTTGATCGTCCAGACGGCTAACACCCTGCACGACATTCTCATCTATCGACAGGAAGTCTCTGACATCGAATCGCAGGTAATCTCACGATTAAACGTTTAAGGAGTAGAAGAATGTTGATGGTATTCTAACGTTTCGTTTGTTGCATTTAATAACTTTCACGATAGGAGAGCTAGCGGAACTTTGGCGAGAAAATTAGGTAGAGCTGTACAATTGGTAATTTGTTCGAAGTCCTGTGATGTTCTTTGTGAGAAGACTGCTCGACGAAAGCTACTTTTCAGAGGAAAACGTGAAGGATGTACCTACACTACTGAGCAAATGTTTCGAATCACTGTGCATTGCGAGTTATAGAAAAATTTTCAGAAGAAAGATAGCAATTTGAAGAATTTTCTTATTATTTAAATCGGTCGAAATGAGGCAAAGTGATATTGATCTCCACAATGTTAATTTCAAAACTATAAAGATAATTCTAAAGAATAATTCTTAATTTCGTTATAATTCTAATATTCTGAATCTTAATTCTATTATAATTCTAATATTCCAAATCTTAATTTTGTTATAATTCTAATATTCTAAATCTTAATTCTACTATAATTCTAATATTCCAAATCTTAATTTTGTTATAATTCTAATATACCAAATATTAATTTCAAACGTTTGGCCGATAGTGTAGCCTCAGTAGACAGGAGAGTAAGTCAGTAAAGGATGAGACAATGAGATCGAGGTTCAGAGATAATTAACATCAAAGCACGGCGTGCAACGATTACTGTTTACGAAAGAAAAGAACGACTAAATCCAACAGAGATGTGACAAGTGTGGTACACAACAAATTCCTACGATATCTAAGATACTTTCCTAAGGTCTCCTCTCTCACACAGGCGTTACACGTTCGATTAAACGCAGACTTTCCTAGGTAGATCTCGCAATTGGAAAGTAAGCTCGTACTTGTTCGTCGAAGACACCGTAATTAGGCGAGGAATGTAATTAGGTCGAACACGTATAATTCAGTAGGAATCGATCGATAAACCGTCTAAAAGTAACGAAGGAACGAGTAAACATTCACCACACCTACGCAGTCATCCCTTACATCGTTTCTTCGCTATGCGTTCTCAATGGAATCGTTCGTTTCTTCGATTGTTTCAGCACACAGCTCGTGTGCCTGCACGAATCGGTGTGCCTTTGCTCTATGATTTACGATGATCCGATACGCCGACGCGTTTCACCTCCAACCGATCAACCGTTGAATAATTCTCCACGAAAATGAACTACAGCTTGTTAAACTGTACACGTAAATCGCGTGTTACGCTCCGACGTTCGATTCCAACGTTAACTCTGTTGTTTACCGGAATTCACGGGATTGAGTGTTCTTTTATCGAGGGAGTGAAAAAACAAAAGAAAAGAGAAGAGAAGCGCGGAAAATATTTTTTCGATGGACGAGTTTGTCTGCGGGTGAAAAACATCGAATATGCAACAGTTTTGTTTGTGCGTAGATAAAAAAGAAAAAAAAGAGAGACGTTAATCGAGAAGTTTGCGCGAGAAAAATCTTTTTCATTCTTCCTCTATCTCCCTCGAGCAATTTATTCGAAACGTCTCACTGCCCTCGTGATAAGGGAGAAAATTCTCGTTCTTGAGATATAAAGAAAGATTATCGGCATAATTTTTTTTTTTTTTTTAATTGGTTATGTAAAGTCGCATCAACCACATTTATGGGTTATTAGCGGCTGTTA